CCAGGTTTGTTTTCTTCAGAAGGGGTTTGATTACCGCGGTTTTAAAAGCTTGTGGGACATAGCCACATTGTATGGATGCGTTTATTATATTTACGATAGGCTCAATTATCAAAGGAAGTATGTCTTTGAAGAGCCATGTCGGGACTGCGTCTAACATGCAAGTTGAGGCTTTTGAGGATGTGACCACAGAGATCACCTCTGCTTGGCTCACAGCCATGAATTTATCAAGGCCCACTGAAGAGTCTAAGTGGGAAGTCACGTATGCCGCTTCAACCTGTCCACCACTAACAGCAGGAGCAACCTCCTCCAGCTTGTCACGGATGGATGTAATTTTATTATTAAAGAAGTGGAGAAAGTCGACACTGCTCAGTGAGCTTGGAATTTTAGGCTCGATTGCGCTATGGCAGTTTGTGAGTTTAGCGACGGTGCCAAACAAAAATCTACTGTTGTTTTTATTCGCTTCTATTAAAGTTGAATAGTATTGAGTTCGAGCCCCGCGAAGGGCCTTCTTGTAGTTTCGGAGACCTGCTTTCCACTCCCTGTGGACAGGCTCCGAGTGGGAGTGGCGATATAGCCTCTCCAATTTTCTGACGTCCTGTTTTAAAGTGTGGAGTTGAACACTGTACCAGGGCGACGATGATCTAATCCTAATGGTTTTCTGTTTTAAAGGAGCTGCTGCATTTAATGCAGATTTTAAAGACTCCATAGTGTTGCTCACCGTTTGGTCAATGACTGAGGGACTGCAGCTGCTGTGAACAGGTTCACCTGCAGCAGTATTCAACATAGGCTGTATTAGTTCTTTGAACCTTGTGATAGATTTATCATTTAAGGTTCTTTTCATTATGGTTTTATCTTGCGGGACAGGAAAGTCCTCCAAAGCGAGATCAAACGTGATCAAGAAATGGTCAGACAGCAACGAGCTTTGACGCTGGATGTCAACATTGGAGACATCACAGCCGTAGGTCAGGACAAGGTCCAAGGTGTGGTTATGAATGTGAGTAGGTTCCTCGACATTCTGAGTAAAACCAACACCATCTAGTACGGCGCTGAAAGCTTTGTTTAAGCTGTCAGTGCTGTCGTCCACATGTATATTGAAGTCTCCAGCTATAACTATGTTTTCCCATTCCAAAACTAGGTTTGAAATGAAGTCAGAGAATTCTGTTAGGAACTCGCTGTAAGGACCAGGAGGTCGGTATAAAACTATAAATAGTACTGCTTTTTGTTTTCTCCACCCAGGACAGGTGATTGAAAGTGTTAAGTTTTCAAACGAGTGAAAAGCGTTGTTGGTTTTGGGACTAAGAACCAAGTTGGTGTGTGATATAATCGCAACGCCACCGCCGCGACCTGTAGCTCTGGCTTTCTGGTAGTTAACATGCGTCGGAGGAGTGCACTCATTCAATCTAACGTACTCGTCCTGTTGGAGCCAAGTCTCCGAGAGCGCAAACAGATCCAAGCTCTTGTCTATAATAAGTTCGTTTATGAGAAGCGATTTAGACGAGATTGATCTGACGTTCATTAAACCACATTTAACAACCCTACCGCTAGAACTATTTCTGTCTGTCTGAACTTTTATTAAGTTACTGTGTCTGACACCTAGGTCAGATTTCCTCGCATATAGTGCTTTAGACTTCAAGCGGGGAACACACACAGTTTCAATCTGACTAGGTTCTGAGGCTAGTAACTGAGCACGCACAGGCACACACACACATGCACACACAGTTGCAATCTGACTAGCACTGAACAGATGGGGGCTCAGAGGTTGTGGCAGAGCAGCTCTGACCCGGGCCTCAGTTCTGCATCGTCTTGAGCCGAGCAGAACAGTTTAGAGAGGCCAAATTCGTAGCCAAAAGGGATGTACCCGCCACGTTGGGTGGATATCATGCGGATGAGACCGGGCTTTCCCCAAAAGGCACTCCAATTGTCAACATGTCGAGGGCACCAGCCAGACAGCCAGCGGTTGAAAGCCGAGTGTCTGCTGAATGCTTCTGCACTGCTAGTGCTAGGTAGGGGCCAGAGAAGATGACAGTGTCGGCCATTGTGCTAGCTGCTTGCACACGGCGGCGACTTGCAGCTTCAACACCTCGGACTGTTTCCGCCGAACAGTCATTTACCACCCGCGTGAATAACCCGCGTTTTCAATACATTTTAAAATATTTCTTTATGACTAACAATTCGAACGGAAACGCTGCTTGTGGGCGCAGCTCGTGACTACAGTGCTCCGGAGACGCGCTCTAACTCAATGGACCCTGGATTCCAGACTACGGACTACACTACACTCAACATCTATCACACCCTAGAGAAGGATCCAGGTTTAGACTCGCCATATGGCAACTCGAGCAGGTATAGGAATGAGGGAGAGACAGCAGCCGCCATAGTAGCGAGTTAGCGGGCTTAGGCTAGTGCTAAGCTAGGCTAGGCTAAGTAGTACGGGATCCGGGCCGCACCAACAGACTCCGAGACCAGACAAACAACCGCTACCTAAACCTCAGCTACAGTACAGCTGATCGGAGGTTACACAGTTAGCTTGGTGTACAATATGTGGTTTTGTAATGTGTTTGTTAGTGCAAAACAGAGAGCAGAGTGATGAGCAGTCAAGAAAACACGCTCACCGGATACCGGAAGTCACGTCACGTTAACTAACGCGTCTGTCTCGTGAATAAGTTGTTGCTGCCTCCTCTGTCTGTGTTTAAGCTGCTGTGTTTTATTGTAAGCTCGTTAGCTCTAGCTTTTGTAATTGATGCTACCACACTTTGGGTCTGGATTTGGGCTGTTTGCAGGCACATACTGAACGCTTTGGATATGTTTTAAATGGGTGCGGCCTAATCCCAAGTTCCGACAACATGAAAATTGCCGGAAAGGACCGGCCCGGGGGGGGCCCCCCCCCAACAAAAATAAATGGGGTTTTGATATCCAATAATTCTTGTGGTGACACCTCAGTTGTTGTATTTTAAAATCTCTTAAATAAATGTTTGATGAATGTGTTTGATTTTTGCTAGAGGGACTTATGAGTACAATGACACACTGAGTCCAGCAGATAATTTATTAATTTATTCTCTATAATAACTACATTTTTTCTATCATATTTGATACAGTGGTAAGGAAAAAGTCAAGTGATGTGAGATATTTCCAAATTGAAGAGGAAAAACGTTTGTTTTCGAAGGGCAGAAAAAAAAACCCTGTTCATACCCCCGAGAGTCATAGCATGAGCTTGAAAAATAGCATTTTAGATTGAAGGGATGGGGTCTTGGATGTTCTGTTATAAGTCGCGGATGGAGCTAAACCCTTGCAGCGGAAAACGTGTAACATGATGAAAGATAGTTTACATTTAAGTCATTTTTACAGACGACAGTGTTTTCATTCTTACACTCTTGAACACAATCCTATGATTGTCTTAATACACTTAAATCTGTTATGCTTTTTTGGAGATATTGCATACAAAATTGTGCAACCCTGCAGAGTAGTGGATAGTAACAATGAAAATATTCAAACCTGTTGGTCTGAGAGTAGCAGAATTGATCAATATTTTATGTTGTGGTGTGAGTGCATATGTGTGTGGTTGTTAGTTTGTGGGTGTGTGTGTGGTTTATTAACAGGCCAGAGGGCATTAGCTATGTGGTAAACTGCCAAAACAACATGACTGGATCATAGAAATATTTCTAGAAAAATATAAGACCATGATGCGAATTTACTAATTCATCAGAAGACACATGCACAGAGCAAACATATTCAGGTTTGAGGAAGTTATAAATCAGCTCTGGTTCAATTATTTTGTATAATTAAACAGTATAAAGTCTGGATACCTGTATTTTTACACACATAATTCATATGATACATTTTTTCTATCCCACGGGCAAGAGTCTTAAAATATTTCAAAAAAATAAGCCAGACCACAACAAGCTGTATTATTCTAAAAGAAATCTGAGATATTTTGAATACAAGGCCCCGTGATCATTACTCGACTCTTGTGGACTGAGAGTGAATTGATGAGGGTGGTCCTCTTTTGTTCAGTTTCTGTGTAAAAACCCATGAACTGTACCAATGCGTACCTTTGGGTCAATGACCGGGCCGCTTTGACGAATGTTCCCAGACTCTTGTTTTGCTCCTTGTTTGTCACGTGGAGGGGCACTTACCTAAAACATGGATTCAATCATGCCTCGGACCTATTACCTCGCCCCCCCCCCCCCCCCCCCCCCCCCCCCCCCCCCCCCCCCCCCCCCCCCCCCCCCCCCCCCCCCCACCCCCCCCCCCCCCCCCCCTTGTGATGCTCACCCGACTTTATTTTTAATGAGTTCATGAAAATGCGTATTACTACATACAAGTTGTATTATAATCTGTAATGTATTTGAAAATAGAGCTCATTGATTCAGCTTGTCTATGACTTCAGGCCGTAAAAAAATCTGAGTCGAAAACTTCCCTTAGCGTAATGCTCGCTCTCCTCCACTCACAGAAACAGGCTGCGTCCTCTAGCTTACAGAGCTGCTAAACACAGTTGCAGATAGCAGAATTGGCTATAACTTCTCCTGCTGTAACTGCAGACCAGCAAAACAGTCAAACGACACAACAGTGAGGAAGAGAAGAGGGAACTAAAGCGAAAAAAAATGATCAACGAAGAAATCAAGCCCGGCGTGAACATAGCTAGCTTACATCGTATCTCTGGAGAGACTTGTTTGGGAAAGATATCTAGCTCGGACTACATTCGGACGCGAAATAGCGTCCGAAAGTAACTAATTTCTTTCAGTTATATATTTTGTTGCAGTAAATTGTGCTCCTCGCTAATGTAAGCATTTAGAATGCAAGTGAAATAGATGGCCTTTGTGGAATGAGAGCGTAGGGAAATGGGAAGCCTGTGAGGAGTTTGGTTGTTTTGGTCATTGCAGCATCACTGGGAGGGGGGAAAATAAAAGACGCGTGAATCACACGAGACTCACGTGTGATTCACGCGTGAAAGGCGACAAAACGGAATGGGACCTACTGTATGTCATATACTCTTGTTTTGATCTTCACATTTTCTGTAAGGCCAGTAAGGAGGGTGTAGATGAAGTGTCTGTGATGGGAACGATGCGAGGAGAGGTGGACTCACAGCCTCCCACACAGTGCAACAATTTCCGCACTGACTGTAATGAGGGGGAAGGAAAGAGAGTGAGAAGAGTGGTAATGAAGTACCTTGACCCTTAAGGACTGCCAGTATTGCCAATACTGTATTTAACTTTCTAAAAGTTTGAAAAACATACTTTGGGAAACCACTATGAGGTTATGGTTACTTCTGTTTAGTTTAGTTTAGTTTAGTTTAGTTTGAATGGAGTAGAGTTTGGCCTGTCTTAAGTGTTAAGCGTGACGACAACATGTTTTAAGTTTTGAAGTCGTTATTTTGACAATGTTATTTATGTTCACAGCTACAAATAATTTCCAACTTGAATCAATGTTGCTTTAAATTTGTGGGTGATCCGGAAAAAGTATTTAATTTGCCTTATGTATTGACAAAAATAAAAAGATTGTTATATTCAATGTTCAAATACTGTCTTTTTATTAAAGTGCAACAAAAATAGTCACAGTATAAAATCTGCAAATATCACTGGTATAACGAAGCTTGTTTTGTAACAAAATAACTGCTTCATTTAAAAAAAATTACCTGAGAACTAAACAAAGTAGTGCAAAATTCACAAAAATAAACAGATGAGCTCAATCATCTTCAAATAGTGCTCGTGTGTATGAAAATGAGGGGGTATATTGCTGTAAAGTTTCGTGTGATTGTAGTGGTGGTGTTGGTGTGTATCTCCCAGAGTGGTGTGTTTCACTTGGAGTGTGAATGAAGGGTGATGCATTGTGGTGTGAGTTCTGGTGCATGTTGTATGAAGGTGGGTGTCCCTGGTATACACTGCTGCTACTGTGGGGGCGTACATGCGAGAGGCTGGACTAATAATTCTCTCATCAGAGAAAATCCTTCCTGTATGGTATTGGTGATGTTTGCTATGTTGTTATTTATCTGTTGCATGTTGTCTGTATTGCGTCTTGACAACTCCTCCATTAGGTCCAGCATCCTCCGTTTCAGCTGCAACTCTTCCTGTCCTGTATCGGCAGGGACCTTTCTTTTCAGCCTGTCCCCTCTGTGGCTATTTAGCTTTGCCTTGAAAGATACATAGAACAATGTAATTTTATTAACAGGACAATAGCAAAGGTTTGCTTGATTATTAACGTAATGGACATCACAGGCCTCACTGAGTAATGTACATTAATTCTGTAGCAGTAAGACATGATTTGTTTTGATCACAATCTTAGTTTTCAATACAGCTATATGGAATACAAAAATAGAAAAACTGCAAATGTGGAGCCAGTTATAAGCATTACGAAAGTCAAACCCTGTCATCTTACACAGTTATGTCTTACATAATTATAGTAAATAATCAGCGCATTGATGTTGTTGCCTACCTGCAGAATCTCTCTGCGCTGCCTTACGACTGGAGGAGGCAGCAGACTTTCAACAGAGTCTGACGACTGTGGCGAGTCAGTGGGCAGCTCCGAGGTCGATGAAGACGTCTCAACCAGGTCCTCCCCAGATCTCCTCGCAGAGTTAAAAAAACATGAGCACCACACGCCCATGGCCACTCCGTCGCCCACTGTCCACTGCCTGCCTGTATTTCCCTCTGATGTTTTTAATTTTGGCGGTTAATTGGCCTTTAGTTATCGCTGTGGAGTCATGTGGGAAATCTCTGTCCGGAGAGTCGCGTGGATATTGCTCCTGAAAGGCCAACATGATGTCCGTGTATTTGGACATACACGTCTCCCAGTCTACACTTTCTTGTAGCTTGTTGGTTTTGTAATCCAGTGTGACCCGAAGCAACAGTTCAACCTCATCGTCCGTCCATACTAATGTAGTACCAGCTCGCCCACTCGCCATGTTGTCTGTTTACAAAATTCTGCGCATGCCCAGTTCCCGTCACGGAAGTTTGGGCTTGATCCCGTCATTGCGTCACAGCGCCACCAACTGGTCTGGCATAGTTTCACAGCGTTTTCAGGCGTATTGACTACATTCATATGGACGCACACATTTACTGAGCTAACTCCGTGTTTACAGAAAAAGTTTCTGAAATTATAAGCGTTTTGTCTTCGTGTGGATATAGTCTAAATGTTTCTTACCATATTCAACATTATCAACATTATTTTTAAGTGATATTATATCAAAAAACAAATCAATAACTTATATGTAAATAAATGTATGCTTCATATTATCATGTCAGTATGTAATTGTGGCTCCCGGGTTTGAAAAGCCCTTGTTTGACTTTAATAAGAAAAGGCAAAGTTGGCACTGTGACTGAGTGGCACTCCGGCTTCTCAGCAAGAAGGTCCTGGGTTTGAATCCCGGTCATAACAAGGTCCTTCTGAGTAGAGTTTGCATGTTCTCCCAGTGTCTGCTTTAGTTTCCTTTACCACCAAAAACAAATACAAGACTGAGGCGCTAGTGGGATTACCAGATTTGACCCATGCGGTCGAATGCAGAGGACATTTTTCCCTAAGGGGACAATACATTATAATATAACTTAGTCCATCCATCCATCAATTTTCTTCCCCATAATCCATTGCTGGATCGGGGGGTTGGCAGTCAGAGTTGCACTCAATTGCACAGAGCACCAGCCCGTCACTGATCCTCACTTGGTGAAGGTGTTATGGTAACTCAGTCCATAGCTTGATCCTTTATACATTTTTATGCATGTATTTTAAAAAGAAATGTATGTATGATTCACTGAAACCAAGTAACTAAGTATATATTCTCAAGATCATGTTTTAAATTGGGGTACTTTACTTTTATGTTCATCTATAACGCAATGTGTTTGACCCAAAATAATGAGTCTTTGTAAAAGTAAAATATTCATCTTGTTAGAAAATATATATTTTTCACACTGGTAGAAAAGATCTTGAGAGCTGATTTAGTCGGTGGTCCTCTCTTTTTCTCTTATGTCTGAATAAAAACAGACATACATGTGAAAACTAGTGATAGAACCAAACTGTTTCGAATGCTAGGAAATAGTTTGATGGATTTTTTTTTTTACACAGTTACATTTCTGTGGTTTGAAAATGAGGTATCCGAGCTTTAAGAGCCACAAATACTACCACTTGCTTCATCTCTTTTGCGCACATTGTGTTGTTATTTGGAAAACTCTTTGGAACATTACACAGAGATTTATTGGAAGACATCGCGAACACTTGGAGCAGAAAGCCGACAAGTTCCGGGCCATAAAAGCGGCTGGTGGGAGTGGGATGAAAATTGGAAGAAACTAGACGTGAGCTCATGAAATGTGTAGACTGGCAAACGGTGAGGACTGGATAAATAATGAAGGAGTGGGTATAGGTGAGAAAACCTTACTGCAGAGACACCTCCACTCTCACACTTCAGCTCTAAGTAACAGGAAGCAAAAAGCATGTGCAAAAACTCACAGAGGGTGTGAGAGCGAGGAGGAAAGATATAAAAAGAAAAGTTGTTTGGGAAATGAAAAAAAAAACAAAGCAAAAATCTGAAGACAACATATGAGGTAATGGAGGAAACAACGCGCTGGAATCAGAGGCTGTGATGGACATTGCGGACCTGCTCGGAGCTCAATGAATGAATGAATAAGGAAGTGCTCAAAAACATGCAGAATTTAGGGACACAAAATGGCTCCTAGCTGATACCTAACCAAGCTTTAATTTAATGTTGGTTTACCATAATTTCTGGACTACATGCCGCTACTTAACACTAGGAGCACCCCTAGCGGTCAACTGACCGTCACTCACTTTATTATGCTAATTAGTGTATTCAAAACAAAACGCCAGAAGTTGAAATTTTATGACTTTTACTAGGTACTTGTTGTTTATATTTTGGTGTGTTTTGGTTTTGGAAAAAGTAAAGAAAACAAGATTTACACGCATTTTAACTTTTCTAAACCACAGCCCTTTCTGCTGCCCCATAGGGATACATGGCGCAGGGGCGACTGTTGTCATAGTAACCTTTCCCGGGGGTTTTTCGCGCCTTATAAAAATGTATCAATATGTTGTCATTAGACTCTAAAGGGACTTTTTTATTATTATTTGGGAGAGAGAGAGGAGTACAAAATGAATAGAGCTGCAAGAACACAGTATGAAGCCCTGACAGTGCTTCAAGACATTGAATGAGAACAGTCTGACGGAGGTGAGATGTCAGACTCTGAGGTGGAAAGTGACAGCGGGGAGAACACCTATAATATTCTAAATCTGAACGTAAACCCATAGTGCATTCACGGCACAGACAGCAGTGTTGTAACAAGTCCAGAAGCAATAACGCACATGACCCGCGTAATGCCAGCCGCAGGTGTCTGTGTGCGCGCTGTCGCTCCATTCTGCCTTTTCATTCATCATCAATTACATTCTTATATTTATACATACAAGAAGGCAATACAGCAGAATACAATATCGCAATAAAATAGAACAATTCGATTAACTATCAAGGCAGAGTGCAGATCAGAGTGCTCGTCACCCGCGGACACTGCAGGAGGAGAGGGACTGTGGGGCAGAGGCGGCCCTCGTATATCAATAAGGATATAATTCGTATTTCATCCAGATACAGTAACACTGTGTGTTATTCTGCACAGCGCGCACTGCAAGGCAATGATTATAATTTTGTTCTGAGCATAAAGAGCACTGCTTGTCTGAAGATTTTACATTGACGATGGTAGCCTAGCTGATGATCTCGTGTCAATACGAATACTATTATTATCTAGATAATATTTCCCACGGTGATTTCGGCCTCTAAAGAGAAAACAGTCTGGAGATGACGTAAGAAGTAGGCGCATAGCAGCGCGAAGACGTTATGGTCCCGTGCTTTTCTAAACTATAATGTATATTGTTTGAATTTACATATTGTTACTGAGTCAAATATAACATATAGTGACCAACCTTTTAGGTGTTTGCAAAGTTACAAAATAAATCTAGCCTGAAAAGTCATCGTAATTTTGATGGATCAGTACACGCACAATGTGTCGTCTTAGTCTTTTATTTCGGCTAGAATTACAATTACTTAGCATATTTAGACAAATAATTTACACCGTTTCATTATGATCACGATTCCTTTGCAACATCAAGTTCTGGTTTAGTGAACAATCAATTTGGCAAAAGGCTGTATCAGCGCAAAATATATAGCGGTCAACTGACCGCAGGGGGCGGTGCAAGGTATGTTTAGAGCGCGGCGGTCCTAGTGTTAACCCTGTGGCTAATTTAGCAATGCTGCTAATATGTGTATTTTTAATGTGGTAGAGTATATGGACTTATCACATCAAGTGTAAATAACTATTGGACACTTGTTTGAGGCAACTCAAAGTGCTTAACAAAACAAGAAAAGAAACATTAAAATCTAGCCTGGCCTTAGCCAGTACACTCCGCTCACTCATCATTTCTCTGCATGTAATGTCTAGGTCCCGTCCCTGCGGGTTAGCGATTACAATCGGTTGAATTTCGACCGACCAATCAGCAAGCGCGGAAGGAGAGTGTTATATTTAGTTCTGGGTGACGTCAAGAGTTTGCGTCGAATGGGAAGGTCGTAGTTTGGCAATGGCGAAAAATGCGATAGTAAAGTAATCCGGTCTGGTTCTATCAAGAAATTGAAGCCGGAGCAAGGGTAATGTTTAGCAAATGTAATCGCTAGGAAAAAATTGTGGCGCTGCTCCCCACGGGCTCCGTTAGCGGCAAAGGAGATGGCTAGGCTAAATGCTAATGACTCATTAGATAAGTCACGGTAAACTCAGATCCAATAGTTTCAATCTGCAAAAGGAGTTAACCCCTCCTATCTGTAAACGGAGCTCAATGGAGCGCCTCCAGACCTTAGTACAAAATGTAATTTTTACTGTAGTGTGGTACGACCAGGCTTATTAAAATCCCTCAAGGCATTCTAACATATCTAATCAATCTACATTCAAAAGAGTGAAGAAACATTCTCTCAGTTGTATGCACAGCTAAACAGAACTGTTTTAACCTGGATTTGAATATTGTTAGAGAAGAAGCCTATCTCACACTTGTTCGAGGTTTTAGCTCCTTAAAACTGAAATGCTGTTGCCCCACATTAAGTCTTTACTCTGGGCACCAGCATGAGGCCAGTCCCTGTGCTCCTCAGCATTGGTTCATATTGCTCTAACAGGTGTATTTGGTGCGAGGCCATGGAGACACAAATGGACTAGTGTGCAACCTTAGACTTCTATACATGTATGTGTGCGTAAACATAACACGGTGCACATGCAATACTGTTTCTGATTGTGTGGACGGCACATTGTGAAGTGGAGGAAGCTGAATGCCTTTGAAGCAATATCTCAGCGGTGCATTTCTTTGATCTACGGACAAACCTTGTAGCTACAAAGATGCAGAGGTTCAAATGCTGTAATTTCAGTGAGTTACCTGTGAGCAGAGGCATCCAACAAAATAGCAGCATTGGCTTGTAGTTGCTTTTTACGACACATTTTGCAAAGATCTTTTCAGATGAAGTACCTATTTTTTTTAATTTACCTTTTTCCAACAAAAAACTGGTATGGTGTATTTTTGTTTTTACAGTGACCGTGTCTATTATTGTGTGTACTTAGTGCACTGCATATGGAAGTGTTACGGCCCGGCTCTAGGCCGTAACAGGAAAAGATGGAGAAGAGACAACGGCCCACAATTAGAACCCCTGCAGGGCCATTTATTGTAAACAATATATCAAACACAGAATATAATGATGGTGTGGTGGCTGCCGCATGGCCAAGATGGAGGTAAAGGGAAGAGGGCGGCGTCCAACAGGAAGCGGCTCTTTTATAGGGAGGAGCTGCTGGACCTGCAGCTCCCCCGTGTGGTCCTCCTCTGTACTCCACCTCCAACAGACAGACAACATTAGTGTGGGATGTCACATTCCCCCCCATAAAAGACAGGTTCCCCCAGGAATCCTGGCCAAGAACACAGCGGACCTCATCATCTTCCGTGGCCCCGGGACAGGGAAACCTCCACCTGCCGTCCCGGCGTGGCTTAGCACGGTGGTCGACAGACATGGCCTCCATCCACCTTACATGGCACCTCAGCCGCCTAGACGGCCCCGGGACGAGGGCTCCTCCACCGTGCTGTCCCGGTGTGGCATCGCACGGTGGGTGATAAGGTTCTTCCTCTGCCCGCATGATGTCTGTACCTTTGCTACGCCACCTAGGAGAGGGATAGGAAGACAACCCTCCCTACAACCCTGGAGCGCGCGACAGGGCATCAGCTACAACATTGTCCTTTCCTTTGATGTACCTAATCTCCAGTGAGTACGACTGCAGGAATAATGACCACCGGATCAGCCTGTGATTTGGGCTTTTAAGTGACGAGAGAAACAACAGCGGATTATGGTCAGTGTACACGATGATTAGACCACCCCCATTCAAGTAAACGTCAAAATGCTTTAATGCCATTATAAGAGCCAACGCTTCCTTTTCTATCACCAAATAATTTAGTTGATGTTTGTTGAATTTCTTTGAAAAGTAACTCACTGGCCTGTCCACCCCCAGATCATCAACCTGTGTCAGAACGGCTCCGGCCCCCACGTGACTGGCATCCACGTGTAACTGGAACAAACAACCAAGGCGAGGTGCCGCCAGGACAGGGGCAGCACAAAGGAGCTTTTTCACTTGCTCAAACGCCCTCTGACACTCCGGCGACCAGGAAAACTTGACCTCCTTCCGCAGCAGGTCAGTCAGAGGAGCTACAACAGAAGAAAAATCACGGCAAAAACATTGGTAATAGCCTACAAGACCAAGGAACCGCATCAGCTCCTTCTTAGTCACCGGAACAGGAAACTGTTCCACAGCTTGCACTTTTGCAGCTACAGGTCGAACCTCCCCTTGGCCTACTACCCGACCTAAATAGGTCACAGTTGCTCTTGCAAACTCACATTTTGCAAGATTAACTGTGAGGCTTGCCCCCTCCAAACGAGAAAAAAGCTCCTTGATGCGCTCCACATGATCCTCCCATGTATCAGAGTACACCACCACATCATCGAGGTATACAGCACACCCAGACATATTGCCCAGCACTTGGTTCATCAGACGTTGAAACGTCGCTGGTGCGTTCCTAAGCCCAAATGGCATAACTGTATACGAATACAATCCTGTAGGAGTGACAAAAGCCGCCACTTCCTGAGCTCGCTTCGTCAATGGCACCTGCCAGTAACCCTTCAAAAGGTCAAACTTACTGACAAACTTGGCAGAACCCACTTGGTCAACACAGTCATCCATCCTAGGGAGAGGAAACGAATCAGGTTTGGTGACATTATTTACTTTTCGGAAATCAGAGCAAAACCTTGAAGTGTTGTCTGACTTCGGCACAAGAATACAGGGAGATGCCCAGCTAGAGTTGCTTCGCTTCGCAATGCCATTGGTAAGCATATAATCCACCTCTAAATCCAAAAGTTTACATTTTTCATGATTGACTCTATAGAACCGTTGTCTAATTGGCTTTGAATCACCGACATCTATATCATGTTCAATTAAATGTGTCCGCGAAGGTGTATCTGCAAACAAACTCGGATAACTCTGAATGGCAAAAATAAGCTGCTCAGCTCGATCTCCTGGTAAATGTGACACCAAACAGCCCAAGTTCCTCAAGGTCTCAGAATTCTTAAGACGGCCGTGCACAATCGCAGAGTCCAATGCACCCACTTCATTGTCCTCCACAGAAATATCCGAAGTTAATACCACTGTATCAACCGTACATACCGGATTAGCCTGGCGCTGAAAATACGGTTTCAACAAGTTTGCATGACACAACCGTGTCTTTTTCCTACGCTCCGGCATCGAGATCAAATAGTTCTGTTCAGATGTTTGACTAAGAACAGTATACGGTCCAGAATATTTTGCCTGGAAAGGAGATGTTATAATAGGACACAAGGCCATCACCTGATCCCCAGGCAAAAACGAGCGCATCTCAGACCGCCGGTCAAAAAGTGATTTCATTTTTGCTTGGGTTATGCCCAGCTTCTCTTTAGCCAATTCCCGTGCCGCATAAAGGCGTTGCCTAAACCCATTAACATAATCTAATAGTTTAGTAGGCGGTTCAGACTCCCTAAACTCATCAGCAACCACAGCCAATGGACCCCTAACTTTATGTGCAAACACCAGCTCATTTGGACTAAACCCGGTACTTTCTTGAGTGACCTCCCTTGCAGCCAACATTAACCATGGTAGACCCTCCTCCCAGTCTCGTCCTAACTCCATACAGTAAGCACGCAAGAGGGACTTAAGCGTCTGGTGGAAGCGTTCCAATGCTCCCTGACTTTCCGCATGATACGCAGTTGCTTGGGAGTGCTTAACCCGAAGTTGATTCAAGACCTGAGAAAACAAATGAGAGGTGAAGTTGGTGCCTTGATCTGACTGAATGACTTTTGGTATCCCAAAAACAGAGATAAACTGTGACAGTGCCCGCACCACAGATTTGGCTGTAAGAGAACGCAAAGGATATGCAGCAGGATAGCGCGTGGTTTGACACAGTACTGTAAGCAAATAACTAAATCCAGCCTTTGATCTAGGCAAAGGACCCACACAATCAATAATCAAGTGCTGAAAAGGCTCTGACACAGTCCCTATCGGATTTAAAGGCACCGGCTTTAAAGTCTGATTAGGCTTGGATGTAAGTTGACAAACGAGACACGTCTTAATATAACCCGAAACATCCCTCTTCATACGTGGCCAGAAAAACTGCCTCAGAACACGATCATACGTCTTACGAACTCCGGAGTGCCCAGACTGATCGTGTGCCACCTTCAAGATCTCTGTGCGAAACTTAACTGGTACTACAATCTGAAAAACAGGTTCACCCACAAGACACCTATGTGGCAACCATTTTCTTACCAACAACGAATCTTGACAGAAGTACCCCCCAGCACAGTCCGCCATCTCCCTCTCTGGCTGAACTTGATCAAAAGAGTTTAGTGACTCGTCCTCTCGCTGCTCCGCCACCAGCTCACTATGAGACAAACGCACAGGAAAATCCAACAAAGGAAATGCAATAATTCTGTCACTTTTGTCCCTGCCAGAATCTGCTCGTGACATAGCACGCGTTACTGCACAGGCTGTAACCGCCTCTGAAAATGTTGGGCTACTCGCATCAACCCCAGTATGCAATGCCCTAGGCTGCAGTGTCTCCCGCACCCCCTGAGACACCACATCAGACCACATACGTGCCCCTGTCAAATCGTTTCCCAAAATCACAGAGATTCCTTCCATTGGCAATGCAGGGCGGACTGCTAGCGCTGCTTGGCCACAGAACAGTTCACACTCCAAGAACACCTTGTGTAAAGGCACAAAAAACACATTTAATCCTATTCCCCGAACGGGAACACAATTACCCGTCTCAGACACCTCAGACAAAGGCAATACATCCGCTTTAATGAATGAGTCAAATGCCCCAGTGTCCCTTAATATTTTTATATATACTTTCTCCTTACTGCCAACCATAGACACGAGACCCTCTCGAATGAATGGGAGATAGGAGGAGTTGACGACCTGCCTCGCATTCACTGCCTTACCGTCTGGTGCAGCCAAACCAACGCCACTCGGACCTGCCTGACCATTCCACCCCTTTGCCTTCAACATAAAACAGTCTGCTTTAACATGCCCTCGTTTGTGACAATGATTACAGACTCTATTCTCAAAGCTCTGATTCTTGGCACCAAGCTGGCGCCCACCATGGAAGTAACAGAGCCCGTCTCTTTGGCTTCCCTGGTCACAGTTCCCACTGTACTCACGGTGCGTATTGGAACCAAAACCTACACCATTGCGCTCATATAAGACTCGTGCAACTGTTTTGCCTATGACGCACAATGTGGCGCCAGAACGAAAAAAGACTGGTTATGACTCTCAATCATTAATTCATAACAAGACTAAACGAGGATTGATATCGGGATGCTTTGAACAATTGAGACAGCTGTAAAAGTTCCACGTGTGATGCAGAATTTCTACTTTGAATCCGTTCTTCACAGGCTCATTCGTGTGAATCGGTGGCCTAGTTGGTCTAAACCAGGGTGCCTCACTTTTTCAGCATCCCCGGAGCTACTTATAAACGGATCAATCAAAGCCAATATCTACCTACTACAAAAATGCAAACATAGATTTATTTCAAAAAATATTCTTTATACCTACAATTATAATGTTTATGTACATGCAAAACCGCATGAGCCAATATAGCACCACACAACCACAATTATCTATGTATATTTTGTCATTACCCGAGTTTTCTCTTATACTTGCACTGAAGTGAATCGGCCAGGATGCATAGTCCGAAAATGGTGGTTACTCGCCTGGCAATTTGTCGTGGTTTAGCTTTCCTGCCACTGACGCGTTGTTTGCGCATGTGCAGTCACCTAAGTGTCCAGTAAAACATTACTGAGTAAACACAATGTCCAATGACGGTGGTGCGCATGTCCGATGTGCCAGCCTGGTTTTTTATTAAATCCAAATATTACCCCCCTCCGTTTATAAAATTATTTGCATCCCACATCTGCGTTATCAATCAACATTCCAAACATGTGCGTGTCTTACGTCCTGTCCGCGTTTGGGGCAAAACACAGAAGTGGGCGGAGTTCTGATGCAGACCCGGTAACCGGCACATTTACATTCATAGAAGACACTCAATACAGACGATGTTTACAAGCATATGACCCCGTCCTCAGCCCTTGTTTAGTCCTGGTTTAGTCCTGTTTTAGTCTGGTTTAGGTCCTGTTTAGTCCTGGATTTAGTTGTTTCAGCGTGAGTCCCCGCGATCACGTTTGCTGCTCTCTGATTGGAGGATGTTCGCTGCTGCCGAGCATCTACAGTGAACATTTTGAAGGAGTATGATCCATGCTTCAATGATCAGAGGATTTTAGGGGGTACAGTGGCGTGCGAGAACGCAAAACTCGATTATCTCTGTCTACACTACAAATCGCATTAACGGAGTTTTCAACAATTAGAATGTGTAATTTTTTATTTATTTATTGCGATCTACCAATACTACCTTGCGATCGACTGGAAGATCGCGATCGACATATGAGCACCCCTGGTCTAAACTTTGTGCTTACAATTAAACCGGTTCGATCCCGGATGTCTTTTTGTATTTATTGCAGTTATCCACATTCTATGACAGATTGCCTAAAAACGGTAAAAGATAAGGTCAAGACTTTTTTTGCAGATTATAGGCTTAATTGTAAAAATAATCATTTAAGACCACATTACCCCAATTAAAATAAAGTTATCTCTTTTTGAGGTGAACCTTTTCTACATGTTTTCTAAAAAAT